GCTCAAGCGCCTCTGCCCTGAGGCCGGCACCGCACAGGAGTCCCACATCCCTGCTCTGACTCTGGAATTGACGGTTAGCCTCACACCCTCTGGAACAGTTATTCAAATTCAATTTTCTCTTTGGAGAATCAAGCTCCTGACTGGAAAAAAAAAAGTTTTACTGTTAGAGAGCAAAAGCAGATGTCATCTTCAGCAGATGCACATATCTAAGGACAAGGACAAAACCGAAAGGCGCAGATGAGAACAGGTTCCGTTTCGTTACCCTCCGTGCACTCACGCCTGTGTTCCAGGAAAAGCGGAAGGGCTTCAGGGAAGGATAAGGCAGCCGACCTAAGCTTCATCATGTAATGAATTCATTCAACAAATAATCAAGTGATGACCATGCTACGCCCTTGCTAGATTCGGGGCCACTGGTAGGGCAGACAGGGCCCTGGCTTCTCCAAACTTATGATTTAACAAGTAATGGCAAAAGGTATGGGAGCACAGGCTGCTATGAAAGCGTATTCCAGGGGCGCCGAACCCGACCTGTGACACCGGGGAGGCGGGAAGGGAGAGTCAGGAAGAGGGGACCCCGGCAGTCAGCTCCTCCTTAAGGCACAACACCAAAGGGGAGCAGAACAAGCAAGGAAGCCATGGGTTTGGCTCTTTCCTAGCATACTAGTAATGGCAGGTTGCTAGGCAGAGTCAAATACAACAACAGCAGGCCAGTGTTTTAAAGCACTTGCTGACAGTCGTGTCCTCAACTTGCTGGTAAAAACGTGCTGGTCAAACACTTATGGTCTACCCCAACTGTTCAAAATTTGGTCTCAAATTTTAGAAGTAGGTCAAAATCAGGAAGAATTAAGAAAAAAAATTCTGATAGCAGTCAGAACGTTGAGTAATTAATAATGTCTTAAGTTACACAGGCTCCGTCACAGTTAACAAGGTGTTTTTATCTTTACAATCCACAAGTCAGACAAAACAGGCATGATTATTCCCATTTCAGAGATGAGAAAGGAAACTACAGTCTGTGGACAAAAACGGGGATCTCTGGAAAGTGACCTCACAGGATGCCCGGATCCTAATTCCTAACTGGGCAGGTCATGGCATGCAGTCAGGCCCCAGGTATATAACTTTTTTACTAAAAGGTTTATCTTGCCTTAAGCAAAACCTGCCCATTGTTTCTGTGCATGTAGGTTAACACACCTTAGAAACGCCCACTCTCTCGAGAGCACAGAATCTTGCTAAATAACTTTCCTGTAATCCAGTGTCTGTCTTGCTTTCTCCCGCCTTCCCTGTAACCTTCCTTAATTCCAAACGCATAAAAGAAACTGCGAAACTGTCATTCTCCAGAGCACTTGAGATCTTGCTTCCCAGCACTGTCGTCAGTTTGGAGCAAATAAAATCTTACACAAATCCTCTCTTGGTTTCGACGTCCTTACGCTGACAGGTCAACAGTTGCTCGACTCGCCTGGGACTATCAGGCGGCGTCTGATCCCCACCCACACAGCCCTCTTCTTGCTACTCGCCTGAAAACAACTGCTCCCCCTCTGACACTGACTCTGAGCTAGTCATCTAGCTTCTCTGTACCTTAACTTCTCAAAATATTTACTCCCAGGGAGTGATGAGGCTTTTAAATAAGGAGTTTTAAGACATAAATGAAGGACGGGTTCATGTAATTCACTGCTTACCACAAGACTTCTAACTTAAGCTTTTGCTGAAACCTAATAAAAAAAACTGGCAGCCCTATTCTCTTAAAGCCCTAGGAAGTTTATTTTAAAAAAGAACTTCAAAAATCACTCCTCATCACAAATTGGGTGGTAGAGCAATGAAGTGAGATTTTTAAAGTTTTTAGAATCCCTTGAAAATTTTTTGACAACACAAAAATTAACTTTCATCTTTCAAAGGACAAATATAAAAGCTGACAGAATGCCTGATTTAATCGTTTTATGATTTTTGTCTTACTCTGAAAAGCCTAAAAAGGTCTCTTCTTCCTGTGACAGTTCCCTTGTCTATTGTAGGAATGGAACGAACGATTTCATGGAAGGGCAAGCATGTCCTTCAGAGACACGAAAAGTGGGTTCTTAACCTATCCTGACATCAGAGGACAACTCAGACAATACCTGTGACTAATTCCAGAAGCCTTGAAAGCATCCAAGCTGAAGTTACGTCTCTTTGAAGTCTGGTTTTTAGTTTGAAGTCAGGCTAACAGAAATAAGTGAGAAAACTGACAATCCGAAACCACTGGGTTTTCGACATAGGAAACCAAAAAGCCAGTTTGTGAGATGATGGATCAATGTGACAAATGACAAAGTTAAATGAGTGACAGACAGAGACACGTAAATTCCCTTGATGAATAAAAATTTTGTGCGACCTTGGCAATGTCGGGCTCGGAAGCAATGAAGTTGCAGAATCTGGTCATTGCGCTGGGACCATCCAGCATGCCGTCGTCCACGTTGACGTCCAACACCTGGGCGCCCATCTCCACCTGCACCTTGGCAACACTGAGCGCTTCCTGAGGAAAGAACGCAAGAGCGGGCCGCACGAGGGCGGGGGAGTCAGGACAAGGCTGACCACGTGACCTCGCGCCGTCCCCAGACCGGCCAGCCCCCCGACTCAGGGCTGCTCGCGCCCAGCCATCACCCCAGGTGAACCTCCTTCAACATCTCTCCCCACGTCACTGCACTACACGGAACCCACCGAGGCTGTTTTCCTCCCCAGCCTGGTGGCCGGGCCCCGTGACCTGGCCCTGTCTTTTCACCCCACTGTTCTCCCCAGAAACGCATCCTGCTGGACACAACAGGTTTGATTTTGGTAAAGTCTTCAGAACTGTACACTTCATAGCGTGATGATTTTTTCTTTGCCCGAGAAAACCAGATAGAAATGTTTAGCAATCACTGTGCTGGAACAGGCATGAGACCCTTTGGCATATGCCACAAGGAAAGACCATTTACAATTAATTACCCACGGTCACACAGGGCAAAAGGGTCACAATAAAATTCGGCAAATCAAAAACCGTTTTTAGTGCCAGCAACGTGTTAAATACAGTAAAGAAGAGAAAGACGTGTAAGTCGTAATCACTGTTCCTGAAGGCCTTGCATCGAGTTGGGGGCCTATGACACAGTCACAGAGAAAGCTACCAGCACTGTGTGTGTCACATGCCAAGACCACCCAGACACCAGGAACAGCAAGGTCTCTGTCGACTGCAATGGAGAAAGCTCCCTGAGGGAGGGTCTTCAGCTGGGCCCTGGAGGGTGGACTAGGGGGTGACCTGGGGGAGGCAGAGAAGGGTGGCAAGAGCCTGGTCAGACCAGGGGTCGAATGACTTGGAAAACAGATATGTCAGTACCCGAGAGAGGCATGGACTGGACTCTGCTTCATGAGAGTCGCAGAATAGCGGCTTGGAAGTCCAGCCTTTCCAAACCGGCTCAGAAAGACGAAGTGAATCATTTAAGGATGTACAGGGTGAGCGAAGGAAAAGGACTAGAACTTCCTTCGGGTCAGCATTCGGATTCTCAAGGGGTCACTAACTCCTGGGAATCAGAACCGAATGAGGACGCACTCCCGCTCGCCCTCTCCCTGCTTCTGCCTCCGCCTCCTCCCCTGTCCTCCAGGCAGTGAGGACACAGTGACTACGGGTCCGGCTTCGTGGACTTGGGGTCTGTCATTACTTGCTATGAAACAGCAGCCTCTGATTGCACATCTGTAAAGAGGGGATAATGGCACCTATTTCATAGGGCTGTGAAGATTAAATGAGTGATGATGCAAAACACTTAGCACGGTGACTGGCACTGAGTGAGACCTTCTTAAACAACAGACATCATCACCCTTACCCATTTGCTTCTTCCTAAGATGCCCTTTTCTCAGTAACGAATCTATCAGATTTGAGAGCTAAAAGGGACACCACAGAATGGTCATAAGAATCAAAATAAGGAGAAACACTGCCAACTGAAGAACACTACAAAACTATGAAGGGTCATTATGATTCAGAAGGGAACAAACATGAACGAGCCTCCTGCAATGTTCAGATGACAGGGCAGGAAGGAAAGGCAGTTTGGTCCCTAAGTGGAGAAAACTAAATGACCGCCTAAGGAATCTGGATTTTGTCCCAGGTGCTAAAAAAGTCACCTGTGAAAGCTCCTGAACCGGGGAGGGCCATGAAAGAAGCATATGGTGGCAGTGAGCAGTAACAGGATTGAGAGAATGCCAGCAACCAGGGAGCCAGGCTGTGCCCATGTGCCACCGAGGGCACCTCCGAGAGCGGCTGCAGAGAAGTGCCGCTCAGGTCCATAATGGACGATAGACGGGTCCCTTCTTCATGGTTAAATGAAGTCTGCTTTGATAGTAGTTTCTAGAAGATCTATTTCCCAAAGGTTGCAAAACATTGAAGTGAGAGAAGTTTGATGATAAAATAAATCATTACAGCACAGACCAATTTTTAACTTTGTAATTGCATAAGAAAAAAAATCTATCCACATGTTTAGGGCAGTTTCTATTTGGCTTGAAGTTTGCTCACCCACAGAGTGACTGAGCTGAAAAATACTATGGCTAAACTGTCATGTGAACTTTCCAAAGCAGGGGCCAATTCCTTCTTGTGTGTTTGCCTGATTACTTCAGTCTACAGCTAACAGAATCAATAATTCCACGTTAGAGCTCAATGTGGTCATGAGGAACTGAAGAGGAATTTTCTTGGCTTTCCTTTTCTCTAGAAAGATTTGTAAGAAGCCAAAATGAAAAGTCTTCTCAAATTTTTAAACTTATCTCACAATTATCAGAAATAGAACCTCCCATCTTATCCCACTTCATACTCCAAATGCAGCACTTTTTGACAAATAATGACAACAGCGGCTTCGGTTTTCCGAAGCCTTGCCCTCCCGCAGCCCAGCCTGCTGCAAACGCGCATGACGGTTCTTCTCACGCTTCCCAGCAGCTCTGCTAAGGACACGATCAAAGGCTGCCCGAAGAGCTGTCATCTGCACACTGTCCAGCCAAAAACATGGCCGAAGCCTCCAGGGTCATCCTGAGATGCTCACTTCGTAGCTTCCGGCCATGACGAGTTTCGCGAACTTCCGGGACCCGGCCACGTTACAGCGTTCTCCAATGTTAACGAAGTTGGTGTACGGTCCGATCCTGAAGGGCTCCAGGCCTTAGAAGAAGAAGCATTTTGAAAATGTTCTGAAAACGTACATGGCAACAGGAGACAGAAGGAATACAAACATTTCATGCGCAAGTTAAGAAGTTTCTGTGCCACCACCCATCTGATGAGCCAAGAAATCCCACGTGGAAATGGGACCTTCACCTTCGCCCCCATAGGTATTTAAACTGTGTTGCTGCAGCTACATTTATAACCAGAACTCTCCAAAGAGGAAATATTTCAGGGATTTAAAATGCAAATTTCTCTAAAGAGCTGAATGAGCTCTGAGAAATAAGGACAGATCATCATCGTATCCTTATTTAACCAAGTCTGGGGCAAAAGCCATGACATCAGAATCCAAAGGCCGACTGCAGAGCTGTCCACACAGACGTCAGCTTGAAGCCTGGAGCGAGCTTTCTTAATCCCACCAGCTTTACCACGTCTCCTCGATCCAAAGTTCAAGACCTGTAACCAGCAAGGCTGAACGGGGTCAGGACGCTGGCCCAGGCTGAGCCCTGGGATGAGCTGGCTCTGCACAAGCCACCTGGGCTCTCTGCACCTCTGCCCTTACTGCCAAGAGCCAATAACATCTGCCTTGTTACAGGTCAATTTAGGGGCAAAATCAGATAATAAATGTGGAAACGTTACACTAAGGTAAAACAACCTAAAGTATCACACAGAAGAGGCCTTTAACCGAAATGTGGAAACGTTACACTAAGGTAAAACAACCTACGGTGTAAAGTATCACGCAGAAGAGGCCTTTAACCACTTTGTTCTCCTCGTCACATTTAATGTATTCGGAGAGGGTCCTGCTGGACAGCAATGGGCAGGCTCTGGGGAAAGCCAGCCTCAGGTTCAAGGCCCTCCCCGCCATGTTGGTGAGCAATGGGGCAACTTCTCTCACAGCCTCCAAGCTTACAAAATAGAGACAGTGAAACTATCTGCATCATAATGTGAGTGTGAAAATGAGACTAGGTATACTGACAGACGTGAAATTAGCACCAGCAATCATAGCTGCTGTTGTTAATAAAAGAAAACGGCTTTTGAGTCCTTTGCCAAAGCACTGATTGAAGAAGAGATAAATATGAGGGAGGAAAAAAATAATGAGCACAGATGGGTGTTTGGTCAGTGACTGGGAGACCGTCTCTTCCCAGGTTGGGCTTGTGATTGCCTGTCCTGCTGGTAAGGACTCTCCTAGCCTGGCCCCTCTACCAGCCGCAGGCCACTCCCGATCCCCAGCCAGACCCTGAGGCTAGCAGGGCAGGCAAGCAGGGATGCAGGCATTTAAATGTTGAAGAGAACCGGCCCTAAGGGCATTTCACACAAAGCACTTCGGATCTATTAGCAATGCGAAGTAGCTGCTTTAAAAACTACATTTTTCACAAGTATGCAATTTATAAAAGAACAATTTAAAAGTGTGTGGTTGCTACACCCAACTACAAAGTTTTTGTACAGCAAAGGAAACCATCAACAAAAGACAACTGACTGAATGGGAGAAGATATTTGCTTCTATCTGCTAAGAGGTTAATATCCAAAATATATTAAGAACTCATACAACTCAACAACAACAAAAAAATCTAATTAAAAAATATGCAGAAGACTTGAACAGATATTTCTCCAAAGAGGACATACAGATGGCCAACAGACATATGAAAAGATGCTCAAGGTCCCTATAATCAGAGAGATGCAAATTAAAACCACAGTGAGATATCACCTCACACCTGTCAGAACGGCTGCCATCAATACATCAAAGAACAACAAGTGCTGGCGAGGACTGGAGAAAAGAGACCCTCACACACGGCTGGTGGGGCTGCGAAGTGGCACAGCCACTATGGAAAGCGGTCTGGGGGTTTCTCAAAAAATTAAAAATGGATACGCCTTTTGACCCAGCAATTGTACTTACAGGTATTCATCCAAAGAAAACTCAAACAATAATTCGTAAAGATCCATGTACCCCTATGTTCACTATCCTATCACACCTCTGTGACAAAGCCACTTCTTGGGACAAGGAGTGTGTCACAAACCATAAACCCCTCTTCCTCTAACCTCACCCTCTGCCTTTGGGGCCTAAGAAGAAAACAGCGCAGCCTCACACTCACTGGGATTAAGTCTATGCAGCACGTTCTGAGTGAGGAAAGTGGATATTACTATTGCTGGCACTCGTATTTTATTTTACTTTTTTTAGGACAAAAGGAACAAAAATATCTCAATTCAGAGAAATGTTAAATTCCAAATTATTAGGGTGCATAATCCTCAAAGTGTGCGATTTGCAGGTTCTCTAAAAATCTACTTATATGGTTTTGTTTGTTTGATTTTTTTTTGCTTAAAGGTCTTAAGAATGTCATTAAAGTGTTGTGGTAGAAATATAAAATTTAAAGTTATTTTCTAATAGTTGGCATGATGAACTATCTTACCATTGTTCCTTATTTGAACATCGAAACTCATTTTTAAAAAGGGAGGCTGAACAGAACAGCTGAGAACAACCAGAAAAATATACGCAACTCCTTGTAAAGTCCTGAACACACGACAAATGTTAAGACTGCAACAATAATGTCTTAAAAACAAAATTTTCTAGGAGGAGGCTGCTGTCATTAGGAAACACTGAGCCCTGACAGTTTGGAATTCTCAGTACCTAGTAGCAGATCTGATGGTGAGACTCGTTAGGCCGTGGTCGAGAGCATGTTCCCAAAACAGTGCACGGGGCCGACGGGATCAGGCGGTTCTAACCCTGACCAAGGGTGACGGGCAGTCGCCTGCCTTTCTTCATGTTTCCCCAGAAGTTAGTCACCCCAGAAAAACATAGGGTTCTTCACTAGAATTCACTTAAGTGCCGAGAACAATATCTACTCCTCCTTGACGTAATAAACGAGTGGTTGGCACAAACATCACCACCACTCAGGATAAACATACCAAAGTTGTCTATGACGCGTTTCCAAACCCACACAAATCATGTCTTTCATAACTTACCAGCCAGCAACATGTGCCCTTCAAAAACGGTGGCAGGTGGAACTCGCGGCTTACAGTTTTTCACAGCTTCAGCAATCTCCCTGAGTTGAAAGAGAAAACACTATATCCATTAATTCAGAATAAAATAAAATTAAGCTAATTTCCAGCTATGAAATTAAATCTATTTAACATAATTATGCACATAATTATATACCTAGTTCCAAATGTGCGGCAACAATTATGCCTTTTAGTTTTCTCAGTAATGCAGAAAATGAATCCCTAAACCCAGCCTTCTGTATCTGCCCGGTCTGCCGTGTGCTGACTGTACCAGCTTCTGCCTCAGAATGCGAATCTAGAGATAGGTGACGATTTGTGTAAACGGAAACTGGCTTTAATGGATTATGTCTTTGGTCAATCTGGAAAAATCTGGCTACGCCACGAAATTTATCAGGACCAGAATGAGCTGCTCACTCTACTGTCTCCCAAATCAGTATATACACCCATGCACACACACGTACACAGAGACCAATGGACAAGGAGACGTATACAACTATGTATATAAACAAATACATATTGTCTAAACAACTCTTTTTAAAAAGAGGTAAGCTTAAAAACAAAGAGATCCAAAGATAAGCTACATTCAACTACTGATAGCTTTCAGAGATTATTTAAAGATGTTTCAAATATCATATATGCTCTTAATGGAGTCTATCACAGAAGTCAACAAAAGCAGTGAAATATCAGATAATTCAATACAGGGAACATAATGATACGCATGAAAACAGACTCAGAAAGTGAGACAGCTGGCTCAAAACATGATCATCAGCCACTCTAGGGAAATAAACAAACCATCCTAAACTGTTCTATTCCACTGAATTCCAATCCTCTCGGAAGCCACAAAATTGCAAGGACTGACACGCAACGTCACCAAAACACATGGATTTGGGGGGTAGGAGGGACACGACTGCCTTCCTCATGCACTCGCTCAGCAACGTGGACTAAGCAACGGCTGTGTGCCAAGCAAGATGGGGACACCACTCCTGACCTCAGGTGCTTGAGGTCTCATGGTCTTTTCCTTCACGAGAGAGCCTAATGGAGACAGGTATCTGCCCACAATATATACGGGCTGTCTCACCTATCAGTCGGGTACTTATGGGTAGAATATTATCAAATCTGAGATTTGCTTTACAATAGTCTAAGGGAAAAAGAGTTGGGGAATGGGTAAAATAAGAATAGCGAATGCTGAAAATTATGAAAACTATGATAGGCACACAGGGATTCATTTTATTTTGGGAATTTTTCGTAATATAAAGATATCTTAGTTTGCTAGGGCTGCCATAATGAGGTACCACAGACTGAGCAGAGTTTAAATAGAAACTCATTTCTCGACATTCTGGAGGCTACAAGTCTGAGATCAAGGTCAACAGTGCTGATTTCCTCCCAGGCCTCTCTCTCTCTGTGTCTTCGCCCTGCATCTTCACATGGTTTCTTCCTCTGCCTGTGTCTCTGTCCTAATCTCCTAATCTCCTCTTCTTGTAAGGACAGTAGTCACACTGGATCGGGTCTACCCCTGTGACCTTATTTTACCTTAGTTACCTCTTCAAAGTCCCTATCTCCAAATACTGCCACATTTGGAGGGGGTTAGGACTTTAACGCATGGATTTGGGGGGGTAGGAGGGACACGATTCATCCTGTAACGAAGGTAAATGCTGGAAGTCACCGTCACCTGATATGATCCGGAGTCGTACCACAGCACCCGCCAACGATGTTGACCAGGCCGTTCGCAGCAAAGTCCTGCATTTGGGAAAAGAAAGTTTCAAGGAGTTCATCTGAATTCTAAACTCGCCACTACCAATTCAGCAGAAAAGAGACCTACATTTCCTGAATAACTAATTTTATGTTAAAAGGAGAGCTAAACACACCTAAGTCTAGATACAAAGCTTTTAATGCCCTAGGTATGAGGTTAAAAGCAGAGAACAGTTCAGATACCATGAAATCTTTTATACCTTTTAAAATGCAATGAGATATTTACTTAACTGATCACAATACAATTTTTACTCATATGCTGAGCTGAATGATTATAAGCTGGATAATGCATTTTCGACAACGCAAAGTTTTTAACTTCAAATTAATTAAAAATTCTAAAGAATTAAAAATTCAATTCCTCAGTTACGACAGCCACATTTCAAGTGCTCCAACCACCCTACGTGGTAGTAGCTACACTATGGACAGTGCGAGTCCAGCATTTCGCCATACCAACAACACGGCTGAGAGGAAGTCTGACCGCTAAAAATGTATGGCAATCGTAAGGACGGAGTCGGAAATGGTTGAGGAGAGAATGGCAGTGAGCCAGAAGTTACAGATTCAAGGAACGAGGACAAGAGACCGGAGGTGAGTCGTGAGGAAGGGTGGTGGCGGCACGGGCTCACGGCCTGGGATTCCAAAACAAGAGGCACACGGGAGAGAATGGGGGTGACAACGGTGGGAAGCGAGGAGTTTGGGGGGCCGGGGGGACCACTTGGAAGGGCTGCAGGAGAGCCAGGTTTCAATCAGTTTGCGGTGGACCTCACTGGGAATCTTCCAACAGCCACCAGTTGGTACTGGGGAAAAGATGCTGATAGCGAGCGCCTCCCTCTGCCTCCGGCGTCTGAAATCAGGCTTTTATTTGTTATACACACACTGGAACTTATTTAGGAAGAAGTCTGCCTCTAAATATTCGAAATCTAAAATGTTACTTCTCTCTCTCTGAAGAACCAAATGAAAGAGGGCTCTTGACCTTTAACTGCAGGGCCATCATCTGTGGAGTTTCATCGTAGTCACCGAAGGTATTGGGAAGACCTAAGAAAGTATATTTCAGCCATTATTGGAATGTATCTTAACAAACGGACATAGTATTTGTAAAGGCTTTCGGTTAAAAAGTTAGAAAATGTTATATTATGATTAAACGGTATAATTAAATACTTACAAAAACCAATAATAATTTTTAATATTAAACTTAGTAAACACAGAGACACCACTCAAAAAAGAAAATCACAAAGGGGTATAAACATCCACTATTTCTTTTCCATTTGAAAGAAAAGCATCACTACTATATGGGGCAGAATCCCCCACCTCCATCCCCTTCCCATGAGGGAAATTTATTCACTACCCGGTTGCTTGGGGGAGGGGCTAGGGGAGCACTACACCCTTCAAACTAATGAGTACCCGACATGCAATTAAAAACACAAAACGTAACCAGTCTCCTTTCAAATAAATCTTGCTCCTGGTGGGAAATAAAATTTATTGTGCATTAAAATGCATATTTTTGGAGAAAGAATGCTGGGAAATGATTTTTTAGCCCAAGGGAGCTAAGCAGTGCTCAAAAACCTTCACCAGGAAATCTGGTTAACCCAGAATGGATTACCGCTGTTGAATTAGATAGTTCAGAATTGTCTACAACGCTCTTGGTAATTGTCATATACTGTAAACCAGAAGCCCCAACTTTCAGAAAGGTAAAAGGTAACAAGACGCCGGTTCTTCGTCTGCCTTTTTGCGCACACACTGCATGAAGAGGGCTCCCTCCCATCACACTCTCTGCACTCACTTTGACCACGTCCGCATGGCGAACACTGCCACCAAAAGCATGACTCTGGTCAATTATGTGACTAGGCTTCATTCCCCAAAGTTCTGTGCAATTCTGAAGCTTTTAGCCTGAGCCAAACTGTTCCTTCAAGAGTATAGGGCAACAGTGGTGTAGACCCAAATACTCTCCATCTAGAAAATTCCTACCGAGCGTTAACTATACACCAAGACCTTCAAAACAGACTCTTTAATCAGATCTACCACCCTTTCCACCCACATCTCGTGTACTTGGATTTTGCAACTGGTGGCTCCTTTGAAACACTCACCCGCATTGGGATAACAGAGGACATAGGCTGTCGTACATTTTCCAATCGTTTCAATAAAAGGTCTCATTTCAGCTGCACCCAGAGCACAATTTAATCCAATGCTGGAAAAACCAAAAGAAGATATTAGAAACATCTTCTTTTATTCAAAATATTTATGCACATAAAGTTATAACAAAGAAAGGAATGTATCTAAAACCAAGCAAATAATAAATCTGATTCAAAGCACCTTTATGCAGTTATAGCCAAAGCCATCTCACTCAAGCCCCGCGCAGCACTGAGTATGATCCCTGTCCATGTCTCCAACTTACACTCAGATGAGTGTAAGGCTGAAGGACCCTGTCTACAGATGTGACGCCCTAAATAAGTTCGCAGTTTGCTTAATGTGCAGTGTGAAACAGACTGCTAGCTGCTCCATAAATAAGGAATGAATAAACTGCAAAGCATTGCCCCCAAAATGTAAGTGCTCATAACAGTTTTAAAGTGTATTACTGAACCAACAAGCACGGTCTTAAACTCTAAGGGGGACACTTACAGACAACCGGGCAACTCTGTGGCTGGCCCAGGCCCTCGAACAACCCACTTAGTGGTGGTTGTCCACCTCCCTTAGGGAAAAGGCTGAGTGTACTCCCGGGAAGGCCAACATCCCACGCAGGTGAACCACGGACAGGCGCAGAAGAAGCCCCCTCCCAGGGCACATTCTACGGCCACCAGAGAAGATCCCCAAAAGGCGAAGGAGTTGAGGACAGAATGGTCACTCACCAGAGTGGGTCTGCGTGAGACACGCTGATGACAAATGCCTCTCCTGTCTGTCCAGAAAGTGTCCGCCCACTTTTATCAACGATTGTCCCTGAAATCTGAATTAATAAACTCAGTCAACAATATAGACTCAAATTAAGAGTTTAGTCATAAAATACAATGAGCAAGCTGACTTTCTGTGTTCTTTTATGGGCCAGAGAACCGTGGAACTCAAATTCAAAGACAACACTTTCTACGATGGTCACAGCAGACAAATGACGGGGAGCAGGGCTCGGGGGGTGAGCCGTGGAAACAAGGAAAAGAGAGAGCCACTGAGGCAAAAGCGATGACCAGATGGCTTCAGACTTCACACACCCAGCCCCGCTGCAGAGGGCGTCCCCAGGGAGGCTCGGGTCATCCCGGCCTCCCGCGGTTACACAGCTGACTCGCTTAACACCTCTCGCTTTGGTTCTCTTCCATTCTCGCCCAGCAGTCGTAGGACTCCGCGTGGGTGTGCTATTAAGAAACTGACAATCTGGTGTCCTCGGTGCGGGTGCTTCGCAGCCAGCACGCAGGCCACCCCTCCTGGGGCCCTGAGCCTCTAGCTTCAGCAGACCATTTCGGCCAGGACACTTGGCCTTCCACCAACCACTTCTAGATTCGTTTCCAGCGATAAGACGACTTTTGGTGTGCAGGGGTGACGGAAGGAAGGAGGTGAACGGAGAAGTTAAAGTACATGGTTCCTAAAAGATACTATCAATAGTTCTACTATGCGAGGAAAACAAAAGCCTACCCTCGAAATGACAGTATTAATAAAAAATAAAAATCGACATTTTAGAACTTACAAAGATAGGCCGGGGAGCATACTTCTCTTCAAAAAGGTTTTGGAGTGCAAACAAGGCTGCCTGTCAGGAAAGAAAGGACATCTTTATTCATGAGAGACGGTGTTCAGGTCAGTCTAACTGGATGATCGGAATGCTCAATTTTCTGAGACCTCTTCTGACGAGGTACAACGTCACCTTTTAGGGAAGACACATGTCCTCCCTAAAATGCACGACCCAGCACCCCGGGTGTCACACTGTACCCATTAAAACAAAACAAATGCTGAGTAAAGGTTCATCTATGAACCAATTATTTCCTGAGGAGCTGAAGAGCTACTCTCTCTTCCTTCTCACAATCAAAATAAAAACTAGTTCAAGAGAATGCCTCTGCCTTCCACACCCTCGTATACACACAGTAGGTATGTGAACCAATACGTGTGTCACTAAAAAAAGAGCATGAGCTCAGCACGTAAAGGCACACACCCCACGGACTCTGTAATGTCTGTGTTTTGTTAAGTTCTCTTTCTATCATTATATTCCTTCATTCCAAGATGTGCAGCTTTTCATAATTAATTTTCTGAAATTAGAACATAACCTATAATTAATGTGTACTTTTATTGTAATGGTAGGTTATTTTCCTATGGAAAAAATATCAGAATTTCTCTTTTTAGAACTATAGAAATTGATCCTAAAGATCTTATGGAAAATAAACATGTAAAGAATAGCCAGGAAAGTTATGGGAAAAGGGGTGGGGGGGTGAGTTTAATGAAAAGCCTATTAGCCTACCGCATACTCAGACATGCTATAATTATAATGCTATGGTAAACAACAGGACAGCAGTGTGACATCAGCAGACAGATGACTGGAACAGATTATATCCAGATGGATTCTATGGGTGGTTCCTATCACTCAGAAAAAAGCAGAATGTTTAATAGATGATGTTAGGAAAGCTAGGTTACCTTAGAGAAAAAGAGTAGCTAGATCTCCAGAATAAATTCCAGATGCATCATGAGGGAAACCAGTCCCTTTATAATCAAAAGAATGTCATGTCACATTCTAAAACCTAAAAACTGAACTAAGGAATCTATCCTAATGCTTTATCCCATTATTATTTCTAATCTAAGCAATACTGTGACAATTTTCAAATATATATCTTGATTTCATGTCAGATATCTTCCTTATTATGTTTGCTACCGCTCTTATTTTCAAAATGTATACCTGAATTGCTTTTTAAATTATAATGTGTTTACTGGAGATTCATAGAACAATTTCTAGAAAGGTGGATAAAAGAGAACCATACAAATGATATGTTAAAAATGAGGGTGGATAGTCATCCAGCTTCTGGCTGGAGGTCACGCCCCTAATTCTTCATGAATGACAAGTATTTTAGTTAAACAAACAAACAAACAAACAAACAAAATCTTTCAAAAATTCTGACTCTGGCCTTATTTCCACAAGATTTAAACAATTAAAGTTTTGATGAAACTACTAGGTGTAAAAAGAGACCATTATTCTCCTTATCTTGGGGTGGGGACTACCCTTGCAAATATAATTCCCTCTGCGCAAAACACCATCAACAACCAAGAATCCGTAAATCCAACCATACGAAATTATAATTATCTTACACCAATGAAAAACTAAAACGAACAAACAAAAACAGCACAACTACATCACCGTCACCATCACATAGAAAATCAAAAGTCACACAACACACCGGAGACAATGTTTGCTATTCGTCATCAACATGGGCCTGACTTCCTTAGGGAAAAACTCTATTAAGAAAAAAAAAATCCGACAGAAAAAAGGCACAGGACTCAAGGAAATGTAAATGGCTATAAAACTAGAAACAAATGTTTAATTTCATTTATAGTCAGAAAAATACAAATGAAAACTACAGCGAGGTCGTATTTTTCACCCCTCATAGCGGAAAAGATAAAAAAGTGTAACAATAGTTGTTAGAGAAGGTGGTGAAACCAGCCCCGCCTGCTGGCTGGACGGCAACTCGACACCGAAAATCAAAATGAACAATGCACAAACGCTTAGCAATTTCACCTGTAGAAATTTACCCTCTAGATACACTGTGCAAAAACATATGTGTAGGGTATTTACTTTCCTCTCCATACACTTGCACAGCTTTGTTCATATATAAGGAATACAAACTCAGGCACACGCATGCTGCACAGAGTCCCCATTGGCGTCCCAAGCCTGGCAACGGTGTTGTCCCCTAGGAATAGGAGATGGCAGGACAGCACTTTTCACTGCATAATGCACGTCTCTTCTGAATTTAGAACCATGCGTATATATTTATTACCTATGCGCAGATGCATATATAGTGGCTATACATGAAAACATCTACTTTCCTAATTAAAAAAAAGCATTTTTAAAAGTTAAAAGGATAACCTTTTAAAGTTTTTCTCATTCTACTGGCCTAAGTTAAAAATAGTCAAGATTAAAATGGAAAAGAGAACTCTCGTTTAACCTTGATAATGGCTATTACTGTCTCCTCACTACATCAGAGGAGTCATCACAACCCTCCACTCCACCCCGGGCCCCGTTCCTTTTTTCCCTCTTAACTCACCTTGGCATTGGCCGTATCAAAAATAGTTTCAATGAGTAAGATATCGACCCCACCGTCTAGAAGCCCCTTGGCCTGCTCTTCGTACGCTTCAACGAGCTCATCAAATACTGCAAAAAATAAACCAAACGTAGGACATGAGTCAACATCCTCTGAATGGCCAGGACATGCTGACTTCAGGCCTGGCACCTGTGAGCTACTTACTGCTGGTTTAGAGTGCGTAACTTAAGGACAACACCACCTAGGTAAGAAACCAAATACGGCAGCTCAGCAGCAATGGAAGTTAAACCAGTAACCCGAACACGGTGGCTCCTGAGCTCAGGGCCACCTGCACCTCCGCCATGTAGCCGAGACAGAGCGGACGGGCAGCTGTGTGATGTCCCCGGCCCTGCAGCTCGCTCCCAAGATCTCTGAAACAGATCATCCTTGCCAGGGATGGTTTCAACCGATCCACTAAGGGACGAGCGTGAGACGTGACACACGACCGCGTCGTGCTGATCTGGATCCTCCCGCTCCACTCACAGCCTCTCTCTGTGCTAAAGGGCTGCGGTCCTGTGGATGTGCCTCCTGCCCTGTCTCAGAGGAAACCCGCATGGTGGGCAATTTCAGCCTCACACACAGCGTTCAGACACCCCCCGGGAGGAGCTCTCACACGCTCCCAGAGAAAACTTTGGAAGAAACATCTTCAGTCGTCTATTTCCACCTGAGAGGGAAAATGAGGAGTCGTTTTACTTCCCCACCAAAAAAACAACAACAACAACAACAACAACAATGCTCAGATATTCAGTCAAGAAGCCTCAAGAGCAGATCTGTGCTTGCTGCATAGGTGCGTCTCATGCCACACAACACAGAAAAAGGAAGCGTCAGCTCCTCGCTGTCATGCCTGGACCAATGACAGACAACATCAGAACGAGCAACTCCGGTGACAAAGTGTGGTCACTGCATGGAAAGTTCTGTGACCAAAAACCTACAAACCACACTTGCCTGAACTTGTCATCTACACGAAGTTCATTACCATACAGAGCAGCACTGCTATTCAGCTCTCACAGTTCATTTTTATAAAATCTGATGTTTAAGAAACTGAACTACATTTCCAGATTTTTCATAAAATCTCAATGTGAGACGTTTATACATGATAGTTTATAATGCAAGTGTGTTTATGTAGTTTGGACTACTTTCTGATAGATAAAATAGGGGTCTAGTGGATTATTCTATGATAGACCGAGGCCTAGTGTCTAATTTCTCAACTTCTCAGTTTGAGGCTTTATTTTGATTGGTTTTATTTCCAAAGCTGATAAAGAAGCACGACCAAAACACCATGTACATTTGAAAGCAAGCTCGAAAAACAATATTAATAACATAAGCAGCAGTTAACTATTTAGTTATCTACTATACTCCAGGGACTGCGGTAAGCCCTTTGATGTGGGCTGGGTCACGGTAACCCAGGGGGTCCTGCAGTTGGTCCCAGGTTACAGGTGTAGACACAGAAGTGACAGGTTACAGGTGTAGAGACACAGAGGTGACAGGTTACAGGTGTAGAGAGACACAGAAGCGACGGGTTACAGGTACAGACACAGAGGTGACAGGTTACAGGTGTAGAGATGACCATACACAAAAGCACGTGCCCAAGATCAATGTTGACATGTGATACTCACTGATGTTCCTGTAATCTGGTCTCTCCACAGACGGGGACACAGAGAGTGTCTTATTAGTTGGACCGAGGGCTCCTGCCACAAACCTCTTAATTCCTTTGGGAAATAAAAACGTATGAAATTTGTGAATAGCTGAACGTTTTTGTTGTGAATCAATAAGGTATAAGATTTCTCTATGATACAGGTCTATAATTCTTTGACCAAAACTCTGAAATTCAAAAAGCGCAAAAGCCCCAATTTTTTTAATTCATTTGACAACAAAACTTGACCTCTCCTAAACTAACAAGAGGCTATTTACAGTCTTTATCCTGCTTAATGGGACAGTTCAAGATTTTAGGGCAAATACGTGTTTGATCATGGAGGCTGTCTCAGATCCCACTAGAGAAATTATGAAATATAGAGAATGTGCATATGTTATCACCAAGCCAATGGAAAAAACTCTTGGATTCTTATGTATCTGCCTTCAAAGCCTTTCAGTAAGTAATCCTTTTCTACCACCATAGCTATGTTTGGCCAAACTCTCTCTCCCTATTCTTGAAGGTCCTGAACTTAACACAGATTCTGCAAAAGCGCCTCATAGCAGCACTTGACTGGAAATGCCTTCCACTGCTGTATCACAGGCCCTTTACTGGGGAGAAAGAGTACATCAGTCTTAACAGTTACACAGCCTGAAATTAAAGTATGAAGCAGATTAAATCTTACTTTAATAACTCTTTTGATCATTCTTTAATAACCTTTGCTCCAAGCAAGAACCTCGGTGCTTCTAAAAGAGCCTGAGAAATCGTGCTCATGTACAGATGCTGGCAGAAGCCGGGGCCACACCGCTATCCCCTCTGGTGATTCCAGCCACTCAGTATCCTGGTTACACATTACAACTTAACTGCTGAAGACTACCAACTGGTCGATTACCAAGCCTGTGAAAAGGTTACAGCTCCAAATATTCCTTATCTTCTCCAAAGCTGACCAATAATGAGGAATAACAAAAATGCCTTTATCTTTCCCTGCTTACGCTGGCTGACATCCTCTGACCTGTGCCCCTGTTGGGCATTACTAAGTTACTAAGTCTGCACGGCCCCATGCAAGTAAACATTCCCTCTCAGAAACGGAGCTCCTATAAATCGCTCAGTCTTCATGAGTATGCTGTGTCCAACTTCCTGACGATTTTCTTTGCATCTTTCCTCTTGGCAATAATTTCACATTTCCAAATCTTAAGGGGCTCCATGTACTTCCATTCCTTTCTCTCCCTCCAAGCCTCCCAACCAGCTGGTACCCAAGTGCTGTTGTGGCAGCCAGCCAGGAGCCACTTTCCAAGTTCCTGTAAAACTGAATCTAATGCCACACTCTTTTGCGTTCTACACAGAGCCTTCAAGGACACCAGTGGGATAAAGTGGAAAATGCTCCAAAGACAATACCTCTTTAGCCAGGTAAGTCAAGTACAGGGAGGAGCATCACTTTACAGGTATCAGATCAAAATATCTTAATGATAACCAAAATGATCAAAACAGTCAGCTATTGCCATAACAACCTGATGGTATGCTTCCAAAGGGAGAAAATCATTTTAGCTGTAAATATACAAGGAAGCCATGGTCTCAGCTACAAAGTTAGGATAAAATCCCCCGCAGAGTAAACGCAGAATAAACCCTGAGCCCAAGGCCCGCAGGGACAGTGAATTCAGAGAGACACTGAATGCCCGACTATGAAATCGCAGGGAAGCAACCAAGAAACGAGCACAACGCGGGGCCCACCAGGTGGCTAGGAGGCCGACTGTCATGAAAGGAAAGCGTGGACAGCAGACAGCTGAGACCGTCAGAGGAATGACCTACGTAAGAGAGAGAGAAATGCCCCTTACCTGTCTGGAGAGTTATCTCCTCGGCTGCTCTCCTGGCCACTCCCGCGGAGCTCTTGTTCATCTGGTAAGCCTAACACATAACTGCAAACGTTAGCTCGTCCTCCTTTTCTTCCGCACGTTAAACAAGAAGGTCACGACCTTCTAAAGCCCAGTTTTATTCAGTAAGGAAATGCACAGAGGATTAATCTGAGGACTGAGTAGAGCCTTGGCCAAGAAGGCCTGTTGGCTGCCCAGGCCCTGAAGGCACCAGAAAAGGCGAGTCTGTGAGAACTGCCTTTAGGTTCTTCCCCAAACCCGTGAGCCAGGTGGCAAAAGGGCACTCTCCAGACATCTGGCACGTCAGAGAATACGCTGAAATAGTTAAATATTCTGAGAATCCGAAAAAAACGTAGTCGTGGAAAAAGTGCAGGCTTCGGAGAAGGCGGCCTGGGTTCTAGAAACAGCTCCGCCCCTGCCGGCCCAGGCAGTCCCCATAGCGGCTTCTCCCGGCCCTGACTGCCTTCACCAAACAGTGGTTGTAAGCAATGGCTCCGAACTCTTTGCAGATTATTAACCTCTTAATACTTGGTGAAAGTCCATAAACCCACTCACGAGGAAATAAAAGCAAGTATGCACAAACACACCAAGTACTGCCTACAATTTAATGAGGCTCGAGGCTCCCTACAGCCCTTCCGCGGGCTAGGTCAGGTCTCAGACTTGAGATCATCAAGACCCCATCTGATTCTAAGAGCCTCTGTGCCTTGGACCCTCATATCTAGTCATCACACCAGATTATCCTAAAATAGGAGTTATCCAGCTATGGCTCCCAGGGCAATTCTGGCCTGATGCCTATTTTGTAAATAAAGTTTTACTGGAACACAGTCAAGCCCATCGTTTACACATTTTCTGTGGCTGCTTTTCTGCTACAATGACAGAGTTGAGTGGTTGCAACAGAGTCTGCATGTAGCCAACAAGGCCCAAAATATTTACTACCTGGCCCTTTACAGAAAATGTTTGCCAGCTCCTACCCTCAAATACACATTCATTTTTCTTTGATGAGCCAAAAAGCACATGATCTCATAAAGCCCCAACATCATGAGAGAAATTAGTGTCAGAGCACTCGGGGCTACCTGCATGAAAACAGGGGCGAGTGTCTGGAAAAATCCCACACAGAAATGGGGACTTCGGCATCTACCGTGTATGTCCATCATCGACATAATTTACAAAATTTGAATACAGAAGCATTGTGTCGATTAAAAATAAACCAAATCTGCCTCCCCACACCCACTAGATGGCTACTATCAAAAGAAAAAAAAAACCCAATATGGCAAGTGCTCTGAACATCTTCGCTAGGAGGAGAAACGGAATTCTTACCAAGTGCTCCAGGCCATAGTCAGCTTGGGCAACGCTAGTGCTGCTGAAAGTGTTGGTTTCAATGATATCCGCCCCCGCCAGCAAGTAATCCTGCAACAAGAAAGTAACGTCGGTGCTGAGTTTGAGAAGCCCCGCCCCCCCAGCAACACACACGCCTTTTCATCTTCATCATCACCGAACACCTTCTGACCACCTGACCACTTATACTTGCACGGCACTGCATTAGGGGCTAGAGGTGCAAAAGGGTGCAAGGGTTTCACAGAAAGGCACATGGTGTAAACAAACCCAGAACTTGAATTCAAAGTTCACACACTAAATTCTGTGAATGAAGTCGACTTCCTTACACTCTCTGAGCTCCAGAGCCCTCATTTGAAAGTACTGTACGTCTGCCTCACAGGGTGGCTGTGTGATGATACAGGTAACACATCAAACGTATGGCACAGGATGGGCACACAACAAAAATTAGTTCCACTCCCTCACCTCCCCCTGCTTGAGGACAATCTGACCCCCACTGAGACCAGCGTCATCTCTAGATCTCAATCCTGACAACCGTTTCTGCCCACGTCTCCTAATCCCTCTAAAACACGCCTGCGCTGGGACTCTGAGGACCCACGATCCTCCTGTTCTTCCTGTTTGAAAACTCTTGTCTCTCTCTTTGAACACCAACTCAACTCAACCTGATGAGCACTCTGGATGGACTCTCTCGGCCCCCTAGCTGTTCCGATAGCCAGTGAACCCAACTGCGCTGTTCGAAGAGGGCAGCAACGAAAACCGAGATTTACGCATTTATGTCACGAACACCCTAAAAACCTACCAGTAAGGAAACAGCTAAATAAACAATAATATATGCATGGAAACAGCTAAATAAACGATAATATAGATTTACGCATTTATGTCACGAACACCCTAAAAACCCACCAGTAAGGAAACAGCTAAATAAACGATAATATTTCCATTTTATCACGTTACGTGGCAGCTAAAAAAAGGTTGTGTATATCAACATATACTAACATGGAAAGATCTCCAAAGTATCGCTGAGTAGAAAAATAAAATCAATTGATATGTAAAGCATGACACCATTCACATATACACATATTCAAACAGCACTGTGAGTTTTCTACAGATGTATGTGTTATGTATACACACACATCCATACATGTACATAATGAGTAACAAAATCATCTGGAAAGACACATCAACTAACATAATGGTTATCTCTGGGGAGAAAATAGAACTTTGGAGTAGTATTAAAGGGAACTTATTCTTATCTATGGGTTTTGTTTTGTGAGAAAACATTACTTAAAATTTGATTTTTCGAAAAAAGCAAGAAAAATTCCTTAATGCCTAGGAGTAAGATCAGTTAAATAATGGATGAGAAATACACAAAATAGATTATTAGAAAGTTATTAAAACCAAGTTTCAGAACATTAAGTGTTCATGGTATATAACTTAAAAATGCAAATTACAGAGTAGTATGAAGTAATATAATCCCAATTTAATTTTTAAAATCCAATTACAGAAAACTGGATTGAAACATAAATTAAAATATGTGAATGGCAGTTATCGCTTGGTACTGATACAAGTGGTTTTTAATTTTATGCTTTTCTGTATTATCCAGCTAGACTTATTGTTTTTAAGTGACTGCATACTGTCCTTATAGTTAGAGAACAAATATTTCTAAATTCCCATAGATTCAAAGTTTAAAAGGTGTTTCCTCTAGCTCATCACCCTCTCTTTCATCTTCTTTCCCGGCTCAGTAATCCACTCATGGGCTCTGGACAGGACATTCCTCAATTCCAATCCTATTCTCACCGATTTAAAATATGTGTCACCTGGGGCAAGCTACTTAATTTCTTGGCTCCTCAGTTTTCTGATGAAGAAAGTTGTCAAAATTAAAGGACATTAATGACAGCACTTCTAGCGGCCATTAGTTGTTTCAAATATTGTTTCATGTGGGCTCAGCCTCTTGATAGTGCCCGGCTAGGGACGCCTGGGCACTCCCCCGGGGCTCTTCGTCTGTGGGGAGCCCAGACCGGAGCCAGGGCTGGGGCTGGACCAGCCCTGGCAGTTGTTATGACTTCCAGATGCACCTCAGCAACAACCGTCAGGGAACTTTTTAAAAAACAAGATTTATTACCCACAGGTCCTAAGTGGTACAGGCACTCCGGGGGCCACGCAGCCAGGCAGGTGGGGGAAAGGGTACAGGTGAGCGAGTGAGCGCCCGTGAACCTGGAGCTCTGCTTTACTGAGGCCTAGGGTAGGGTGCCCAGGGTTTGGCAGGCTCACTCTCTATCGGTAAAATTTAAAACATCAAAGAGGAAATTAGGGTGTAGAAAGGGAAAAGCAGGGTCACTCAAGCGGTCAGTTAGCTAGGTACCTAGGGCTTTCTAAAAGGGGAACTTCATGGGTGGGAGTGACCTGGTTCCTTTCCTAGTTGTTTAGATAGAAGCTGTGTCATATACCTGCCAATGTGTTTATTTGATGTGGATGTCTTTGAGACAGATGCCACTGCATCAAAAGTTTAATGTCAGTCACTTACACTACAAATACTACTTAGACAATCCATAAAAATATCAGAGGATCTAATCTACAGTCACCAATTCCAAGAGAAATAACTACGTGTGACAATAACATGGTCTTTTTCCCTTCTCCGTCCATGAACACGGTATGCTCCGTACATTCCAAGCCTCCGACTAGTCAACAGCCTCCCAGGAATGAGACAGCCAGGCGCCAAGTCCACCTTATTGTATTTGCAGTCATTTTCGCTTCATCAGAACCTTGTTGTTCTGTCTAGACGCCTATCTAACACCCAGGCCAGAACAAGCACTGTGTGCCAGATGCTGTTCTAAGCAGTCGCAATTCAGGAGTGAAAAACGGCCCTAAATTCCTGCCCTCGGGAACTTACACTCTAGTGATAACCCACGTGAGTGACAGTGACAAAGCCCATAACACAGTGGTCATGTGACTCACCAACTGCATTATAATGGCTGATTTTTGTAACGACCCCAAACAATTCACACCACGATGACATATTCCCAATCTCAATACGCTGGAGTTTTATGAGATTTGATTACACAGTCTCAAGGCCGAGCAGAAAAACTGAGTTACCATTCTTTCTGCAGAACCAAATCTCTTCAAAGACCAATTTTAAATCTTCCGGCACCTGCAATTCCCATCATAACCAAAGGAAAGGCAGCCTTAGTTTCTCTTCAAAAAAAACCCATTCTGCATCTGATGTGGAAGAGTCTTGGCCACCCAGTACCACGATCCCCTCCACACTCAATGATTCCCTTAATCACCTGGTGATTTGTCTAGGTAATTTTTTTTTTCCTTAAGACGAATCTGAAACACCTATAACAATACCCTTCTCCAGAAAACGAAACTTTCTCACTTAACCGGTAAATAGGTTTTGTCCTTCTAATTAAATCCTGATCAGGGAAACAGATTAAAGTGCCTTATTATCTCTTCTAGTCACGATTCTATGAAATTCCTATGATTGCCTCTAAAATAATTTAGTTCTGTTTATTTTTAAATTTTAAGAGTCTAGCAATATCCAGTTACTTGCTTCTGATCTCTTCATGGTGGCTAGCCATTTTTATTGGAGACAGAAAAACCGAAGAACACGGGACTTCAGGTCAGTAATCTAGTCCCGTCAGACAAGTTATTTAACCTCTGTGATCCTGAGTTTCCCAGTCTACGAAATGAGAACAATGACTACCTTTCGTTTTGTTTCATCAAGGCTGTTGTGGTGACTTACGTAACAAAGTGTATGTGAAAATCCTACTTCATCCAGAATTTTGTGGTTTTTCACTGGAGTTTAAAGACCTCGAAGGCAGAAAACCTATCATCCTCATCTCCTTACCCCGAATGCTCAACGCAGGAGATGACGTTTACTTGGTGTCCAACGCCAGCTTTCTGAACAAATCACCTTCTACTGTGTCCTCAGAGCACTGGGCATCGCATTCTGCCCTCAGTCCATGAAATGGCGTGCAGAACAGCAGCGTGAGAACATATGCACCTGGGGACACCTTACCTTATGGATCTGGTAAATGACGTCAGGTCGAGTTATACTCAGGATGTCATTGTTGCCTTTCAGTGGCCTGGGGTGGTCTTTAAACTCTTGACCTCGGAAGTCATCTTCACTCAGCCTGTGCTGCTGGATCATGGTCCCCATCCCTCCGTCCAGCACCATGATCCTCTCCTGGAGAATGGCTTTGATCTCGTCCTGCAGGGTTTTCTTCATGCCTGCTTTAAAGACAGTAAAAAATTGACTTTAAAAAACGAAAGAGGAAAAAGAAGTGTGCGGAGAGGGAGTTTAGAATAAATTATAAAGACTCACAATAGGGAGTAAATAAGGCTCATAAAAGCCAAACTCTTAGCTCTACAACATTAGAAAAACGCTGACCAAAAACGTTTTCATAAGTTATAACAAGGCATAATGCAATAAACGATTGTACAGAGCATGAATCACCGGTGAAGCACCAAACCGAAATGAAAGCAGGCTGTAATTCCCCGATCCAGAGGTGAGGAAAACGCAGCGATGAGCCCAGCCATACGAGGCGGGCCGGGCTGTCAGCAGGTCCTCCCGCAGCCTCTCTGTTAGTTCTGTGCGCAGGCTCCCTTTGCAGGGAGAGTTAACGCGGGTAACTGAAAACCAACAATCATTCCAAACTCCTCTTAAATTAAGAACTTTGGCAGTCTCCCCCACCTACTGCCGGAACGAACAGCCTATACACAGGGTTTTACTCATCTCTGCTCCATCTTTGAAATAATAACTGGCTAGCACCCTGGAACTTCTCAATGCTCCCCATGTCCTTGACCTCTCCTAACTTCCAGCCCTGAAAAGCCCCTCCTTCCATCCTATCTCCTGGTTTCCAAGAACGACTGGAAAGCCACGAAACCACACTGCTTGGAGTCACAGACAATTCCTGAAGTGGAGCCTGTTCTTTACCTTCCCTTGGTGGGCCTCCACATCTGCCACGTCCACGTCCCCAACCTCTGCTTTCTCTTAGCACCGGTCCTTCCCATCCTTTCCACTTGACGGGTGACTTTACCTAAGCCTGTACAAAGGAGTCGACTATTGGGAGCTCCTCAAATTTACCCCCTGTACCTCAAAATCCTCTTGCAACTCGGCTCACTGTTTTCCTTGTCTCTGCACCTAAGGAAGAGCATTTGATCACCGCCACCCCGCTTCCTCCCACCGCTCACCTCACCTCTGCTGAGTTCTACCCCAAACCCCCCCACCCCGATCCCTTACCTTGACGCGGCTTCCTCCTCCACCACTCTACTGAAATTATTCTCTAAAATCGCCATGACCTTCTAATTATCAAAATACTGTGCTCCAACCTTAGACTCAGATTTCAAACCGTCGGACACCTGATATCACCACCTAGTACATCTACCTGCCCATCAACCTAATATTCAAAACCAAACTTGCTCTATCCCCTGCCTGATCTCCCTATTTCTATGAATGGCATCACCCTTCCCAGAAGCCTGACCTGAAAACCTCAGTATTATCTGACTCCTATTCTCCCTGATAACCAACATCTAGTCATATCCCAAGCCCTATAAGATGTGGCCTCCAAAATGGCATCCACACTGGTCCTCCCTCTACCCACATCGCCAATCCCATCTTCAAGCCCTCACTACACATTCCGGCCATCACAAATTCTGAGAGTTTCAGTTTACAGCCATGAACACTAAGGATAAAAATGCCTGCTCTACCTACCTCATAGAGTTGTTTTTAAGGTTAAATGAGATCACAGAGATGAAGATGTTTATAAACAATCGAGTGTCCTACAGAGGTGAGAGATCACCACCTCACCACTACCTGGTCACCCCGTCTTCTGGTCTATCCTAGGTACCACCACCAGATTAATCAGTTTGAAATCAGTTGCTTCTTCTGCTCAAACATCTTCGACAACTCCCTACTGCCTACCGAAGTCAACACAAGTTACTTAAACATTCCCTTCTGTGTGCCTGAGAGGAGCGAAGCTTGAGTCATGTGGCGCTGGCTCTACGTCCCTTGGTCTCCTTGGAGGAAATGACTGTCCAGACCAACTCATCTCCATCCCTAGCAACACCGAGGACCGCACCTGGCAACCTAAGTGTTCAATAAATAGTTTCTCAATGGAAATGGCAAAAGAAGATGACAGAAAATAAGAGGTCATCTGAAACCGAAAGCAGAAATGTATGAATCTCTACAAGCTGGAATTGGGTACAAATCCACAAACCTACCCTGTCTTACCGTCCAGAGTCTGAGGTACACAAAACAAGAACAGGGCTACATGGCGGCTACAGAGCTGTTTGACCGAATTACTCCGGGTAGGCTTCCGGAAGGCAGCCTCAGTAGCAACACAGACTGATGGAGCACAGGGTATGAATGTGGGGGGAGTACATCATACGTTTGAATTTAATTTTAAAAAGTATCCAAACCTCCTAGAAAAAAAAATGCAACCTTTTCTACAAAATAAGTCCTGTCATCAGCAAAACGGTCAAGCAATAGTGTATCATTTACACATCTTTGTCCTTGATCTCCTCCACTAGCAAGCCCACATGTTTAATGAGGACTGGAAGGAGAAATCTACAAAACATAAGAGATGCCACATCTTTTCCCATCCCTGGCAACCTCACCAGTATTGGTATGGCATCTCTCAACTCACTGCAAATCTGACAGCTGAGTGTGGCTCTATTCCTCCCATTTTCATAAAGAAGTCTAAGCATTTTTCCATGGGGCCCCTACTGTATTCACTTTTCAATCCAGAAATATAAGCTGTTTTCAGACTTTAAGACAGTTCACTATTTACCACAAAACACCCTGCCCAAACACATACAAATTCTGAGATGTGGTTAAGAGATCAAAGGTTTTATTAAAACTCAAAATAGAACATTTGATTTTTATGAGAAATTTGACAAGTGTATTTTATAATTTATGTGAAAGGCTAAAAGTCCAGAAAGAGCTAAATTAACTTTGAAGAAGTAGAAAGTTACTTGGCCCACCAAATATTACAATATATGACAAACCCATATCATAAAATTAGGAAAAGTAAAATACACGTTTAAAATAACCTTATTACT